TTAGGATTTTTAAAATGATGCATATATATGTAAGCATTGCTATTAAAAGTATGTTCATTTCATCCTAGCTGATTTGGCTCAGTGGATAGAGCGTTGGCCTGGGGATTGAGGGGTCCTGGGTTCGATTCCGGTCAGGGGCACATGCCTGGGTTGTGGGCTCGGTCCCCAGTGGGGGGCATGTAGGAGGCAGCCAATCAATGATTCTCTCATAATTGATGTTTCTATCTCTCTCTTCCTCCCCCTTCCTCTCTGAAATCAATAAAAACAAACAAAAAAAGCCCTACCCCTTCATGGACATGAACAACAGCTTGGTGATTGCAGAGGGCAGGGGAGCAGATAAGGGATATAGAAGAAGGCATAGCTAGAGGGGATAAATGGTGATGGAAAAAGTTAAATTAAATTTAAAAATGAAATAAAACACCTACCCCTTGACCTCCTATATTCATCAGCCCCTGAGAAACGAGCAAGCAAAAGGGTGCTCACCTGAGGCTGCACATGCTCCGCAGTGCCAGCCTACGCACCATCGGGTTGGGGTCTGAACAGTCTTTGCACAGTGTGTTGATGGCCAGGAGAGCCAGATCTGGCTTCAGGGGAGCGTATGTGCACATGTAGAGATAAACCAACTTCTTCTGAACAATATCTACGGTGGCACTGGCCTTCACCATTTCCATGAAAACACCAGACATGTCCACGCCCTGAGTCATGTGCCTGAAACCAACACACATAGTAGGAAGAAGCAAAAACACGTTAATTCCCAACCTATAATGAAGGGTTTTTTGGTTTTGGTTTTTTTCTTATACATGTCCTGGTTATCTAACTAGATTATGATCTCTGCGAGGGAAGCAATCAGGTCCACCTTGTCTAGTATGTCACCCAGGGGCCTGCAATAAACATTCTTCTATTTGTTCAACACTTACTGAATTCCGAATACATTCCAGTGAAATTCAGCCTTTACATCCCAGGGATATGATCTGGGGACATAATCTTGAAAAAGGAATGGTCTCAGATGTCTAGGAACTCAAAGTCTACTAAGGAACCAGACAAGAGCACCACTAATTACAGTACAACAGATAAGTACGATAACAGAAGACAAGGGACAGTGGGAATCCAGAGCTGAATGCGCAGGCCTCACCAGGCAGGTGTGCTGGATAGGTAACGATAAGTGCCATATGGCAGGTAGGCCTGAGTAACAATGGTACATTCTTTTGAGAGTCTGCAGGTGCTTGAGTTAGCCTGGCATTCCTTGGATGCAATGATAAAACATTTGGACGTGCCCGGACCGGTTTGGCTCAGTGGATAGAGCGTCAGCCTTCAGACTGAAGGGTCCCAGGTTCGATGCTGGTCAAGGGCACATGCCCGGGTTATGGGCTGGATCCCCAATAGGGGGCATGCAGGGGGCAGCCAATCAATGATTCTTATTATTGATGTTTCTATTTCTCTCTCCCTCTCCCTTCCTTTCTGAAATCAATACTATATATATATGTATATATATACACACACACACATATATATAAAAATGTAAATTTTGATGTGATTATGTAGATCACCGTTTCTCAAACTATGGTCTCCTACAGGAATCAGATGGGATGTTTGTTAAAAATGCAGATTTCTGGGTTCCATCCCATCCTACTGAGATCAGAATGACTGGATTGGATGAAAATTTTATATTAAAATTTAAAAAGCACCCCAAGGGGCTTTTGCATATACTAAAGTTTGTGACCCACGGTTTAGGCAAGACTTTTATACGTTCAAATTCGTAAGCTGGAAAGATCTCTCTGCCTGCAATGAGGGGGCAAGGTGACCTGCTGGCACCTCGGCTACTGCAATTGCTTTGGCAATGAGACCGGGACAACACCAGTGCCCTTTTGTCTTTTTTTAAGGATGGATATTCAGAACTATGAACACGTCCGGCTTGAGTTGTGAAGTGTCATCAAGACTGATTCCCACGCTTGGCCAGCGGGGCAGCAATGTTCACCAGCAGGTTTGGGGCGGGGGAGGATGAGGAACTATTCTGCATGACTTTGAAGAAACATCCAGGCGGAAACGCCAAGCAAGCAGTTAGGCTCTGCGGGGCTGAAGATAAAAAAGGTCCGAACTGGATGTGTGACAAGTAGGGAGTCAGCAGTTAAAGAGGGATGACACCGCCCAGCTGAGTAAACGAGGTCGAAACTGAGCCTCGCGGGGGAGACGCCACGGCCTTAGACTCCGGGGCGGCGGGAAGCCCCCGGCCCAGCCCACGCGGGAAAGCGCCTTCGCTCTGGCGGAGG